CGAGCAATTAAATTCTCATTGGAAGCAAGACACGTGTTACCGCGTGTTTGACGCGGCGGTCATGCCGATCGCGACCTCGAGATCCCTGATATCGCGCATTACGCGACAAATCGTCGGTCCTGCTTCCTGTCGCGGTAATGAGAGATTCATTGGTTTACCCATTGTGTCGAACAGTGTTGCCCACTGATAACTCTATTCACTGCAAATCCACTGCGAAGTCGCCGACTGCGAATAAAGTGGATCTTTATCGCGAAATTTAACATGCCTGAATAACCGTAATATGACAGAATCGACGTAGGCGTTAATGGCCAAATCGTTATTATTCCGAATGCAAATATATATTAATGTAAGAGAGCGCTGTCATTGTACGGAAGTTGCTACGAACAGACGGCAGTTTGGAAAATTTCAGAATGTATCGTGGGAAAGTGCAAGAGAAAAGAAAAGAGAAAAAAAGAAGAAACAGGTGTCGAATTAAGGTCGGGCCAAACGGTCAACCGTCTTCTCAGATTGTATTTCTAATCATTGTGTTATTGTACAACAAACCATTAATTTCCTTTTTACATTAATTAATAAAGAAACGAAATCTTTGCATCGATCTTGAATGGTTATCTATCGAGGATTATCTAGTGTCAGTTTTCCTGCGTTTGGTTCTGTTTATAAAATATTCGGTTAATGAGTATAAGTATGTTTAACTATTCTTGGTGTATGTACAAAAGCAAAGACTTCGAGGATATTCACGTAAACTTGGAGAAGAATATTAAAATTCAAAAGAATATTTGTTACACAGGCTCCTTGTATTAAAAAAAAGTTCAATGAAAAACAGCTTTTCAAAAACAGTCTTTGTTCAAGGAGTATATGCAGAACATACAAACATACAAACATTCATATTATTTCCTGAACAATAAGAAGTTCTCTACCGGTCTGCTATAAAAATAAGTATCTATATAAACAGAATGGGCCGGAATTTTATATTTTTAAGTTTATGGTGTGAGTAAATGGATTACAACAAAAAAATCACCAAAAATGGCCAGGGAGTTCTGCTCCATAAAGAGTTAGGTCCGAGTTAGGTTGTGTCTGGTGCAGTTCCGCTCCGAGGTGCTGTAGCGGTGAGGTTTTTAATGAGTAAAAATCTCGCATAACCCATTCTGAAGGTTTTCTCCACCACCACGGTAAAAGAAAGCAACAAAAGGTCTAGATTATGTCTGGGTTAACACACGGACCGCCATGTTGCCCATATATGAGTGGCAGGGCTTTTCATTAACCCCGTTAGCTGTCACAAACCTCATTTGGGGATTTTTCATTCTATGTGTTCTATGTGTTCTATGTGTCTTATGTGTTGCAGAAACGGTGTATCGTATGCTTTATTTTTTTACAACAAGCGAACTTATTTGTAGGTTGAACGGAACCGAAACGGAAATATGGCAATTAATAAATTACGAAACTTATTAATTCCAATGATGAGCTGTTAAAGAAGATAAATCTGGGTAGGATTCGTGAATTTCAATGACGTAACAAAAATAACGACTATACGAATGTTAGATTATGTAGGTTCTAATTGTCTCCAGACAAATGTTTAGCCTCTCAGAAATATTCCCGAGTGTTAGCCCGTAAATCAATGCGTCGTATCCATAATATGGAAGCGTTACGAAAAACCGCGAGGGTGTGGACCGAACGAGGGTCGGGTAGGAGGCAGCCTCTTCGACGGTATACTTGAACGACACCTCCCAGACCGCGATAAAGATGTAAATCTGGCTGTAAGCGAGGAGAAGTACGAGCGCAGGCAGCGGCCGCTATTAATTCATGCATGCATTGTTACGTGTCAAGGCGCGCGGTGTATCTGTCGGCAGATCGTCGTGACGAGATAAGAGAGTGAAAACCTTCCTCCTCTCGATCGGGGGCGCCTCCTCCCGCGCTTGTTCCTCGACGAGAAGCCAGCCTCGCACGACGAAAAGGCTCCTTCGCACCGGCGAAGATTAATCGTCCACGTCGGACGGACGTCGTGATAATTCCTTTAAACGACACGCGGCTACGCGAACCGAGTCCCCCGGTGATACGGTGAAACGCGGCCCCGTCGATGCCGCGACGGTGGTAATTATTTCGTTTAGCGACGCACGGATAGACGGCTGGCGTTAAGCCACCCGACAAACTCCAGCCTCGCGAATCGTACGACAACATAATGTCGGGCGATAATCGAGAGACGAGGGCTCGAGCACGGAAGCTCGGTCGTTATTTTGGTTAATTGGACATGGTGGGGATAAGAGGCATCGCGGTATGGGAATTAGGGAGACGGATGATCTAGAGTTTTGGGAGAGTGCGAATGAATACTTCTGGATTCAGG